TTTGACTGGTACATCTTCTAAAATGCCTTCAGGAATCCTTACAGACCTGTCTGCTAAAATAAGAGATATTCTGGTTGGCTGGAAGTCAAGCATACCCAAGCTGACAGCAACTGAATGAGGCATCAGGTTGACACTTGACCCCAGATCACATAATGATCTCTCAAACCTTTCAGAAAAGATTGTGCAATCCAGAACAAAGCTCCCAGGATCAGTCAGCTTCTCTGGTATCTTATTCTGAATCACTGCACTTAATTGTTCTGAAATCAGCATTGTTCCTTGCTCCAGCCCCAGATTTTTGGTCATCATCCTTTTCACATATCTTGTTATCACAGGAGTAGTCCTTATGGCATCTATCAAAGGAATCTCCACCACAAGCTTATCCATGATAACTTTAATCCTAGCATCCTCCAGATCCTGTTTAGACTTCTTTTGGTTCCTTGGATAAGGCATCTTTGGCTTATAGACCCTTTCTTCTGCACTTTCTGGAGTCTGAGAACTCGGAGTTTGCTTCTGTGGTGGGCGTCGACCGGCACCAGGGGGTGGGTGTCGATGGACACTGGTTCCTGAGAGTGGTGTCGATCAGGCGTCGAGTAGCTTGTCGACCTCGGTCGATATCCGTTCGCTTCGAGTCGAGGAGTCGCGAATTTCCTCTGGTGTCGATCGACACTGAGGGGTTGGTGTCGATCGGCACCCTTCAAAATTTTCGAAATCCTCATCTTCAAACTCCTGCAGTTGCTCGATCCAAGGCTCACCTCCTTCATCACGGACTTCAGAACACCAGCAAAAGTCCTTCTTCCCAATCCAAGGCTCACCTCCTTCACCAAAAGGAGCAAATCCGCTTCAATCCAAGTGATGATCAGCTCTACCAAGGCGACCCTATTCCTGGAAAAAGAGAAGAGGATAGTGAGGAAGCAGAAGAAGAAGAGCTTGAAGAAGAAAGAAGAGGAGAAGGTGAAGAAGAAGTCGAAGAAGATGCTCTAGCTGGCGCTGAAGGCCAGGGAGAAACCCATGAAGAAGATGACTTTGATGAAGAAGAAGTGTTGAGCTACAGTTCAAAGCATTTCCACTTCAAACCATATGGAGGACCAAGCCAAGGAAGCTCTTTGAAGTCTGCTCATGAACACATCAACACTCTCCAGAAATGGTGTAAATGGCAAGACAAAGCCATTAGGAGTTTGGTGAAAATGGTTAAAGGGAAGTTCAAGAAGAACAAAGCTACATCAGCACAAACTTTCCATCAGATCCACACTCATGAGCACACTTTTCGTCAAGAAGAGCCTGAGCCACAAGCTGAGCCAACTGAAGAGGAAGAAGCTGTTTGGAACCCCCATGGAAGACACTCCTTCCATGCACAGCCTAGTGATCAATGGGGAACATCGGCACAACCAAGGGCCTCATCATATGAGCCAAGTACCCATGTACCATCAGTTTGGGAACCAACTCACATTCCCTCTGAAGTTCAAGAAACATGGCAATGGGGTCATCAAGGTACTTCTTCACAAGCTGAGCAGTTATGGTCAAGTTGGGTTCCCCCACCACAAGAAGCAGAGCATTCTACAAAGGTTTATGAGAGGAGGAACAAGAGGAGGACTAGCAAGTCTCCCCAGACATCTGGATCCTCCCACCACTCCTACTATTAATCAAGGTACCACATCCTACTCATTGTCTATACCATTGCATCTTTTTCAATTCTGTATTATATTTTGTTGCTTCTCTCTCTCATTTCTTTCATTACACAAGGGACTGTTAATTTAAGTGTGGGGGAGAGATTTGGGGTTTGACTTTGTGTTTTGTTTTCTTAGTTGTTCATTTTCTTTCACTTTGAGTCTCATGCATATCATGCATTCATATAAGGCATAGAAAAACACAAAAAATCGAAAAATTTGAAAAATTTTGCATTTTTGCAAACCAAAAAGAAATCATGTAGTTGCATTTCATTCTTTTAGTATTAAGTCTAGTGTTGACATATATGTTGCATTGCATTTGTATAGGGCATAATGATAAAATTTCCTTGTAAAGTGCTTAGAGTTTAGAGATGGTTTCAGTGCTTAAGTGATTAGTTGTTTGATGCATCATAAGAAAGCTAGAAGTTAAGGCTGAACCATGCTTAGATTGCTTATTTTGATCATCTCATCTCATACTGAAAGCTTTTGTTCTCTGAAAATCAACTCAATGAACTTGAACTATAATTTAGACTTTTAATTATCATGTCTTATGCATTGAAAAGTGAATTCATGGCTACCATATACATATTTGGATCATCTTCTTCCTTTATACCACTCTTGTTGATCCAAGTAGCTGATCCTCATACTTATGGGACAGTTAATCCGCATCCTTCATCAAAACCTCATTTTGAGCCTAAACACTATCTTGAGAGCTGTGAGGCTTTTGCATTACATTTTCGATTTTGTCTTGGCAAAAAGTGTTAGGAATAAGGCTGGCAATAATAAGCTCTCTTGTAGATATCAGCTTGCATCTTAAGCTTGATTCTAGGATAGGAGTTTTGGGTTAAAAGGGTAGTGTAAGTGGTTTGAACTTCATGTATATATGTTTTGAAAATATGGTAGAAAAGAGGAAACAGTCTAGAGTTATGGTTAAGTAAAAGGAAGACAAAGCTCTAAGTATAAAAAAGAAAGGCGCCAGCAACAAAGCTTAGAAAGGTCAAAAGAAGAAAAATCAGACCAAGAGCAATCCACCAAAGGTGATGAAGGTGCCAATGCAACAAAGAAGAGCAAGTCCCAACCAAAAAGAAGCAGCCACACAAGCAAAAAGAAGAAGTTTCCCCAGCCATGAAGGAGGGTAAAGGGTAGAGTTTAGGAAAAGGGTAGACTTAGGGGTTCACTTTTGGGTTTAGAAGTGCATAAGATTCATCTTTGGATAGAAGGGAGCTTTGAATTGCATGCATAAGTGTGCTTTTACCTTTAGCATTTTGCCTAAGATGGAATCTTTTTCATTGAGTGATCCCTTATGATTAATAACCGTTTGCTAAAATGAGATCATTTTTATCTCATAACCTTACCCTTTGAACCAAATGTCTTCACTTGATTTGCGTAAGCATGATCCATAGTTCTGATCTTAATTGAATGTTAGAGAGTTGGTTGATTTGAGCATTTGCCTAGGTTGAGATTTGAGATCATTTTGAAACATGATGAGTATGGCTAGGTTCATTAAAGTATAGCTGATTATGTTTGCATCCTACAACTAGGCACTTAAGCATTGATACCATCTCTTTACCTTTGCACTTTTGGAATCTGAATGCCCACCTTGAAACCTCACTCTCTCATTTGTTCTTATTTGCTTGAGGACAAGCAAAAGGCAAGTGTGGGGGGTGTTGATATCTCTTGTATTTACACCATTTAGGCTTGCATTTAGTACATGTTTTGGTTCTCTTTTGCATGTTTTCCTTAGCTTTTGTCCCATTTTCTTCTTCTTTTAGACTTAGGTTGCATTTAGGATATAGTTTGCATTTTTCTTGCATTATGGATGTTTTTAGGTGCTTATGGAGCTAAAAGGAGCTTGGAGGAACTTTGAGGATGACCCAGGAAGCTAGCTGGACCAAAGGGAGCAAAAGAGACCAAGGCAGACGATCTCTGCAGAGCTTTTCGGTCTGTGCACGGAGGCTATCGGTCAAGGAGTGACCAATACAAGACGTATCGATCAAGAATATCAGTCAGGAGTGATCGATACAAAGTGTATCGATCAAAGGTATCGGTCAGGAGTGACCGATACAAAGGCGCTGAGTGTATTTCGGTTACAGTATCGGTCACTGTCCAGACCGATATGATTCGTATAGATCAAGCCCAGACTGTTACGACTGATTGATATGAACCCAGTCCGAGCCTGTTTTATTTACATTTTTGCCATTACTCTAGGGCTTCCTTCTTTTGCCTATAAATAGCTCATTTTCTGGATTTTTGAGAATTCATGTCAATTTACTGTTCTTAAGTATTTTCTTTGAGTTTGTAAGACAAATTTTTTGTTTTATTTTATAGACGTTGGTATTTACCTTTAATCTTTCTTTAATCTCTCTTTTAACCATGATTAATATTTTTTCCTCTTGTGATTTGGTGTTAAACATGAGTATTAGTGAGTAGTTTGCTTAGAGTTTCTAGATGTGGTAGATTAGGGGAATTTAGGGATTAATTAAGGTTTGTTTAGTGCTTCATTATATGGGTTCCTCTCTATTGATCTGTTCGTAAACTATATTTTTCTTGATCACACTTATCTAGAATTTAGGCTTTCTCTTATGCCCACCAAGTGTTTGATGAAATGCTGATCTTGTTTAATAGAGGATCTGCTGGCCTTGGCTTAAGATATTGACTATTTGAGGAGCATTTTGACTTGAATAGAGTTGTTTATTAATGCTTGCTGAATGTTTTAGCACTAATGAGAGTTAGTTCTTGTTAAGACGTTTAGCAAAGGGCTATCTTACAAGACATTGGATCTAGCTTGCTTGATTGTGAACTCTATGTCTAGGAATCACCATTGCTAGCTTGTTTGCTTGATCAATGCTGTTTGAAACAACCTTAATTAGTTCTTGAATTCCCCAAAGTCAATAACCACATCTAGGAACTTGCTTTTCTCTTTTGTTATATTTCGGATTTTGCTCTGTTTTGCTCTGTTTTGCTTGCTTAATCTTGTTTAAACTGCCTTTTTCTTTATTCTCTTTGTTGCTTGATCATCTTAGGGTGTTAGATTGGTTGCTTAGGAAACAAAAAGCCTTCTATGCTTGCTTGACTTAAGGATTGGTCTAGTCTCGGTCTAGGTGTGCGGGTATAGTATTTCGTATGGGGATCCCGTTTTGGGTTCGTTCTCCTGAGTAATCCAAAATTACTCAGCCCCTCCCCGTCGTCTTCTCATTTTCCCCTTTGCAGGTTAGTAGGACAGAAATAGCGGTTAAAGTTCAAGTTGGCGGATTTTGATTTAATAAAGGTTTTGGGGTTCGATCCAAGTGGTTAAAACGTTGCCGTTCCGGAGGTGCCGGGAGTGGGGTGTTACAGATGCTCTTTGGGAGTTCAAGAGCGAATTCTATGTCCAAAGGCCAGATTGGATGGATTCTGATACGCAGACAGAGAAGTGGAGGAACAACGCTGATTGCTGTTCTTGGGATGGTGTCTCTTGTGATCCTAAGACGGGCCATGTCGTGGCGTTAGACCTCTGGAACAATTATTTCAGTTATCCCAATTCTCTCAATGGCCCTTTGAGATCTAATAGTAGTCTGTTCAAGCTACAACATCTTCAGAACTTGGATCTTACTAGGAATAATCTTTCGGGTATTTTGCCAGATTCAATCGGCGACCTCAAATATTTGAAGAATTTAAGTCTTAGTGATTGCAACCTCTTTGGAAAGATTCCTTATTCACATGGAAATCTTTCTTCTCTCACGCATCTTGATCTTTCTTTTAATGATTTAACCGGTGAGATACCAGCTTCGATGGGCAATCTAAACTATCTAGCCTCTTTGCAACTCGACTTTAACAAGCTCAGTGGGAACTTTCCTCATGTGATACTCAACTTAAGCGAGCTCACCAATATTCGCCTTGGTTATAATGAGTTCAAAGGTATGCTCCCTTCTAATTTGAGTAGCCTCTCTAAGCTGGTGTATTTTAATATAACTCGAAATTCATTTTCTGGAGCTATTCCGCCGTCTCTCTTTATGATCCCTTCGTTGATCCAACTTAAGTTGAGTAGAAACGATTGCACTAGTCCTCTTGATTTTGGGAATATCTCTTCAACATCTAGACTTGAATAATTATTCCTTGGAAAAAACGATTTCAGTGGGTCAATCCCGGGATCTATATCAAAACTAGTTGGCCTTAGATCACTTGGCCTATCTTTCTGGAACACGAAGAGAGGTATAGTCGATTTCAGCATCTTCTTGCATCTCAAGTCACTTCACATTTCATGTCACTTCATGACTTGGATCTTTCAGGAAATAATTTGAATATCAGTTCAATTCTCCATCTTCCTACACCCATATATTCCTTGTCTTTATCATCCTGCAATATCTCTAAGTTTCCTGAGTTTTTACAAGCTCAAACCAGTTTGGAAAATTTAGACATTTCTATCAATCAAATTGAAGGTCAAGCACCAGAGTGATTTTGGAGTCTGCTAGACTTGAGGGAGGTAAACATTTCTCATAATTCTTTGAGTGGTTTTGAAGGACTAGTGGATGTTATGCAAAGAAGTGCAGAATTAAGTCTGTTTGATATAAGTTCAAACACCTTCCAGGATCCATTTCATTTGTTACCAAACTCTATGAATATTTTTTTAGGGTCCGATAATCGGTTTTCAGGAGATATAATATGCAAATTGGATTCTCTAGTTTATCCAACAACAACTTCAGTGGTTCTATTCCTTAGTGTACTACTCTATCGGTTTTGAATCTTCGGAATAACAGCCTCTCTGGTATTATTCCAGAGGAATATTTTGTTGGAAAACGTGGTATCACTTGATCTTGGTCACAACCGGTTATCAGGAGCACTTCCCAAATCTCTGATCAACTGTACTTCACTCCAGTATCTAAACTTGGAACACAACAAGTTTAATGACACGTTTCCTTTTCAGTTGAGTTTGTTGCCTGGATTGCAGATTCTTGTCCTTCGCTCTAACGAGTTCTATGGGCCAATATCTTCTCCTGGAGATTCTTTGAGTTTTCCCAATCTGCGAATGTTTGACATTTCAAAAAACCACTTCGATGGGGTCTTTCCATCTGATTACTTTGCTGGTTGGAGTGCAATGTCATCTGTCATAGATGTTGTATATATTGGGATATCAATTCAAGTCTCACATCGAAAGATTAGACAATAATGGTCTATATAAGTAATGTCCAACTCTGATTAGTATGAGGCCTTTTGGGAGAAGCCCAAAGACAAATCCATGCGGGCTTTGCCACTTTAGCCCAAAGCGAACAATATCATACTAATAAGAGAGTTGGACATGGGCTCGAAAAGCCCAACAATTGGTATCAAAGCCAAGGTTCATAAAAAAATGTGGACCTCGGGAAGTGGGTTGGGCCTGCTTGTTCATTGTGAGAGAGTCCTCAAAGTGACCTTGCGATTAAGGGTGCGTCGGTACAAGATGGGTGCCAAGTTTCGCAGAAGGTTGGAAGCAAAGGGCTTGTATGGTCCTTGGCTTGAGGGAGGATTATTGGGATATCAATCCAAGTCCCACATCGAAAGATTAGACAATAATGGTCTAATATATAAGTAATGTCCAACTCAGATTAGTATGAGGTCTTTTGGGAGAAGTCCAAAGACAAATCCATGCGGGCTTTGCCACTTTAGCCCAAAACGAACAATATCATACTAATAAAAAAGTTGAACATGAGTTCGAAAAGCCCAACAGTATATGGTTTGCTTTATGGTTCTGTAGACGCGTGGCTATGACAAACAAAAGATTGATGATGGAGCTGGCTGGAATTTCTTTCAGTCTCTACAAAACCATCGATGTCTTCGGAAACAAATTCGAAGGAGATATTCCCGAATCCATTGGTTTACTGAGGGAACTGATTATGCTCAACATGTCAAGCAACGCTTTTACAGGTCATATTCCACCATCTCTGACGAACTTGACCAATCTCGAATCACTAGATCTATCTCAAAACGGGCTATCTGGCGAAATCCCACCAGAACTCAGGAAACTCACGTTTCTAGCGCAGATGAACTTCTCCCACAACAGGCTCGAAGGTCCATTACCATAAGACACTCAGATTCAAAGCCAGGATCGTTACACTTTCGCAGAGAATCTCGGGCTCTGCGGTGCTCTTCTGCAAGAAACGTGCGGCAGAAAAGAAGAAGCAGCAAAGCGAAAGGAAGATGAAGAAGAGGAAGAAAACGATGAAGTATTTAGCTGGATTGCAGCTGCAGTAGGTTACGTTCCTGGTGTGTTCTGTGGACTCACCATCGGCCATATTGTGATTTCATATAAACATGAATGGTTCATGAGGATGTTTCACTGTTTTACTTAATCAATTAAAGCATCATTTGTTGCTTCATGTCGTTTTTAAATTAGTATAATAATGTCGTAAAGAATTTGGTACCCAAAGTTGTATGGAGAAACAAAATTCTATAACTGATGTGAAGAATGCTGCTTTTCATGTGTTTGCAGTGTCTGCTTTTGTTTCCTTCTCAGTGTTATCGTATCTTGATTTGCTTTTATTTAATTTCGTTTTCCAAAGAAGTTTCCTCTATACTGTAATAAGGTATGCTTTGTCTTTCTGAGATTTTTGAGAGTCTGAGGAAAGTTTTCTCAAATGAAAGCAAAACATTCGAGTAATGTTTGCAACTTGCAGTTTCCTTGTTGTGATCCAAGACATCCAACTCTTTCCTTTCAAGGGCTCATTTGCTGCTTTGCTTTTATTTGAGTTTCTTGAAAACATTCGTGTGTGACTTTAATAAGCTTGAACTCTGTTTCTGAGATTTTGACAAGTATCATCAAAATATCAATTTCTACAAAAGGAAGAAGCCGATCGCGGAACAAGAAGAAGATGATGACGAGTCAGCTGAGCTGGCAGAATGATTGGCTCAAGAAAAGACAGGGAGGTGGACTAAAGACTGAAGCTTGAGATTCATTTCGCTTATAAAGAAGTTACATTCTGTTATTAGTTTCTAATGCAGATTTTACAACTAAGCGAGATGAGATCGTCGTGAGATCTGAGATTCAATCGTGATGAGATTGAATCTGCAGTTGTAATCCTGTTATCTTCTTCAATCGAATATTGCATTTCCTAATCGATAGTATCAGATTTATTAATAGAAAGAGTCCGAGAAGAGATTTCTCAAAGCTATTCAAAGTTTGAATCAAAGAGCCTGCCATACGCAAATGTAATGGACTGCAACTAGATACAATATTCAACTATCCTTTGCAAAATCATCATTGAATGCAAACTCTTGGGAATATAGGTTTAACCTTAAAGCTTCGTCCTTCACGTTATGATCAATTGACAGCATCGGGAAGATCCTTCAGAACATACAAGCAGATATAACAATGCTCTTCATTAGCTTCTTACACACACACACCAAAGACAAGCTCCAAATTTTCGACAAGTAACAGTCTTATAATGAGAAAGAATGTGAGACTTTTGTTTCAACGTTGTTGCAGATGAGAAGAAGGTTTTTCTCTGTTGTTACCTGGTAAAGATGCCATGAAGCATAAGCATCGGTCGCTGCGTATTGTAATTGCTCCTTTGACAGAGCACAAACCTCCCAGTTTCCGAGCCTGATTGTGTTCGGCTTCAGGAGCTGCAAAGTCATTCCCAAAAGTGTTGTTTCTCACTATTCTTCTCCAAATTCAAATCAAGCAAATGAGATGGATAAACGGATACCTCTTTGCAAACAAGTGTCTCAGTCAGCGACGCGAGACCCCATCTCTTCGAGTCTCCGCCAATTTTCTTGTTGGCTAAATTAGAAAGATCCTCGACATCTTTGATGGACACTCCATGGTCATGGAAAGCTTCACAGAGTCACCGTCAATTCCAATACCTACCTATATATATATATATATATATATGTATCAGAACTTGAGCTTACATGGTGTTACTTTGATCACTTCAAAATATTAAACAAACCTTTACAAGTGTTGGATCCTCAATAAGATGTTTGAGACTCTGTGGGATTCCAGAGTGGATAATGTGCATAACATCACAATGATTACTATCTACACATATCTGAACAACAGCAACCTTCCCCGGGAGAAAACCTGAACAATCCATATTTTCATGAATTATCAAAAATTCACCAGAAACTCTCTCACGATAATGCATATATTAGCAAACATCAAAAAAGTTCATGAACATGTCCCACTGTGTAGCTATAAATTATAACTTATAATGACCCTGATAAACTCTTAAAAGTTGAAATGAGTTGAATCATCCGTGGTTGAGTTCTAAGGAGTACAATAATCTATTCTATTGACGACCAAACGATCATGTGTGGTTTTGAGTTGGCTTAAAATTGATACAAGTCGTATATTTCTTCATGAACCCGAAGACAGCAAACTCCACATTGAAATGTACTTTTAATTTAAATGCAGGGCCACAGATAAAGAAGCTTACAGTCTCACAAGACATTATCAAGCAACTATCACTACAACATAGACGAGTAGACAAGAGATATTAGTAGAACAATGCAGCATATAAAAAGCTTGCAAAAATGAGATTCGAGACTGATCAAAACTGCACAAGTGAGCCCTATAGTATTTCTTCCGACCATTTAGAAAGGAGACAGCAACCATAAGCTCTTTCTGATCTAAAGACGAGAATGTATGGTCATCAAGACAAGAGAACATATGCATCCATAGAGATGAAATGCACTATCACATCCATTTCATCGAACAATCCCTATTTCAAGACTGCATTTGAAAGAGACAAATCAATCAATGGAGACAAGAAGAATATGTGATACCTTTCCTAAAACTGGGTCTCCACTCAATATCAAAGCCCACAATAGCTCTTCCAGAATGATCTCTCTTGGTATCAAGAACCTTAAGAAGCTGCATTGCTCGCTTATCAACCTCACTAGCAGTCTTACTATACAAAATCCTACCACCAAACCTCATCGCCGGAAAACTCTTAGCTACAATAAGCAAGTCAAAACACAAACATCAATAATCAAAGGAGAAGTTAATTTGCTGCAGAGTTAACACTGTAGGGAACAAAAGCCTTGATTTTTTGAAATTGGGACGTGACAGTTGAAGAAAACAAGAACTTGGAAATCGAATCAGAGAATTGAGAAGATCACCAGGAACAGGTTGATAACAGATTACAGGGAAATTCGATTTGTGATAGTGATGAACTAAGAGGAGTGTTGATTAATTATTACCTCTGCAACGAGAGAGTGGGAATCGCTTGTAAGGCGTAGGAGAAGTGATGGAACGAGGCAGTTGGCGACGGATATTAGGGTTTTGATTTGGATTCTCGTGAAAATTGCCGGATGTCGCAGGCCGTACGGTCGGAGTACGGGAAGAAGAAGAAGAAGTGTGTGAGATATAGGAAGCTTCTGCGGCAAAGACAGCGCGAAGATCCTCCGCTGTAAAATCCTCGTCGTCGTCCCAATTTGACGACATTCTTTTATTTAAGAGCAAATGAAAAGAAACAAAATTGAATCCTTTGGAGTTTGGGGAGAGTAATCTCAGATATCTCTCCATAAGCTAATGAGATTTCAGATGTTCTTCTTATAAAATTTATTTTCTTTTTTATTTTTATTTTAAACGAAAATGTATAAAATAACGAAAAAAGATATCTGAAATCCTCTAAATTACAAGCCGACCAACTAATAACTATTAGGTTTGGGCTTAAACTTAAATTTGTAGATTCGACTCATACCTAAATCTAAATTCGGTCCAAACCTAAAGAAAAAACAATTTCTACTTCCTGATTTTTCGATCCAACTGCTGCCTTTTATCGTCATCTTCTCTGAACCACCACGACGATCCAACTGCTGATAATTCAAATACCACCAATCAAAAATCATCCAATCCGATCAAATCCAAGTCCAAAACCACCGTCCCTCTACTCCAATCTATAGATTATGGCACCGCGGAGAGGGGTTCGGTTGAGATCGTCTTCGCCGGATCAAATTTCATCGCTGCCGCCACCGTCGAGTTCAAATCCGCCGGCGAAGAAGAAGAAAACAGCGGTGGAGAAGCGTCAGGCGGCACCGCAGAAGAAGAAGAAGTCGTTGAAGAAATCCAAATCAAACGAGGGAACTTCTACTGCTCCGCCTCTACCTCCGCCTCCACCTCCACCTCCGCCTCCGGCGATTCCTGTGACTGAAAGAGAAGAAGAAAATCCACCGGCGAAGAAGAAAAGAAAGGGGGAGAAGCATCGAGGAAAGGAGAAGAAGTCGCGGAAGAAATCAAAGTCCGCTCCGTCTCCACCTCCGGCTGCGGCGGCTCCGGTGGCTCCGACGAGGTAACTGGCAACCGGCCCACCTCCGATATCAGAACCGGAAATTGGTTCGTCGTCGCAACCACCACCACTGGTAAACCCTAAATTGTGTTCTATAATGACTAGTATAGTTGGGTCCAACTAGTCCGAGTAGTGTGAGTAGTTCAACTAGTTCAACTAGAAAAGTTAACTAGTCCGAATAGAATAACTAGATTGTAGTCATACTAATCGTACTAGTCGTACTAGTTTGACAGTAGTTGGCCTTGTAATCGTACTAGTCGTACTAGTTTGACAGTAGTTGACCTAGTAATCGTACCAGTCGTACTAGTTTGACAGTAGTTGGCCTAGTAATCGTATCAGTCGTACTAGTTTGACAGTACTAGTCGTACTAGTTTGACAGCAGTATACTAAATCGGTTTTCTTATTTTTGCAGCATGATGATGATGATGTAGAAGAACCAATGCGGCCTCTCGGATATTTCTTCCATCCCACCGAATATCGAAAGGGATGTAAGCTAAGTACCAAATGCTTGCAACACAAATTTAAGGAGGATGTATTTCCAATGTTGGAAGAGGATGAGAAGAGTTGGTTTCTGAACCATCCGCAGTTCAAGCACCTGTTTCACATGAAGACTTATGCAACGAGTAAGGTGATGGGGTTGTGGATGTTGCTTCTACGCACGGTTCAAACGGAGAAGGGTAGACAGGCTTGGTTTGTGGTAAATGGAGTGCCCATTAGATACTCCATCAGAGAGCATGCTCTCCTCTCGGGACTGTACTGCCACGAGTACCCAGCCGATTACCCGAAGTTAGGTGGCATGAGGTTTGTTAACAACCATTTTAGAGATAAAAAAATTACAGCTGAAGTTGTGCTAAAAGCACTTCAGGGGATGAGGTATAATAACACTGGGAATCGGCTAAAGATGGCTGTCTTGTACTTCTTGGCGGTGGTGATAAGAGGGAGATCGAAGCATGGAGTAGCCATAGAGCCTTTCGTTCTGAGGATGGTTGATAATCTCGAGCTCTGTAAGACATTCCCGTGGGGACGGTTTACTTTCGAGGACAACATCAAAGAGATTTTTCATATGGGGAACCATTTCAAAGGATCGATCCCAGAGAAAGCGAGTTGGACGTTTCCTGGGTTCCTTAACCCTTTGGAAGTAAGTCGTATTTCCTACTGTTTTAATTAGTCCGAATAGTATAACTCGTCCGACTGTTTTAATTAAATATGCAGATTTTTCGTATTAATAGTATGACTACGTCAACTAGTGCGAATAGTACAACTAGTCTAACTGGTCTAATTATATGTGCAGATTTTGGCGTTTGAATGTATTCTAACCCTGAAGACACAATTTCGGGTGAAAGCAACAAATGCAGAAGATGATTGTCCAAGAATGTACAAATGGGAGTTCACGCAGACTGGCACAACTGGATATTCGCTGGGTTCAATAAATGAGCATCTTGGAGATACAAAGATATTTTACTTTTTGTTATTGGGATCAATTGTAATCGTACTAGTCGTACTAGTTTGACTGTAGTTTGCCTAGTTTGACAGTCGTTGGCCTAGTATTCGTACTAGTCGTACTAGTTTGATAGTAGTTGGCCTAATTTGACAGTAGTTGGCCTAGTATTCGTACTAGTCGTACTAGTTTGACACTAGTTAGCCTAGTTTGACAGTAGTTGGTCTAGTATTCGTACTAGTCGTACTAGTTTGACAGTAGTTGGCCTAGTTAGACAATAGTTGGCCTAGTATTCGTATTAGTCGTACTAGTTTGACAGTAGTTGGTCTAATATTCGTACTAGTCGTACTAGTTTGACAGTAGTTTGACAGTAGTTGGTCTAATATTCGTATTAGTCGTACTAATTAATTAATCGATTTAATTTTTTCTGTTATACTTCAGGACATTACTAGTATTTTGACTGCTGAGGGTGAGGAAGTAGATCTCATAGAGAGGGCCATGGAAGAGACACAGTGGCAGGACTTTGAACTGAAGGATGATTCAAATGTAGCTGACCCTATTGTTGATGGGTGGAACAAGTTTATAGTCCACCAACAAGGGAAGATACTGTGGGAGGATGTCTTCATGGCCGATGTTCAATCCTGAGTTGTCGAAAAAGAAAATGTCCAAGAAGAAGATGTCCAAAACGAAGGTGCGGCAATAGGTGAGCCAGCTGAACAAGAACCTGTAGTTGTGATTGAGCCAATATCCGAGCAATTGAAAAGGATGATGAAATTAATGGAAGAAGGGTTCAAGGAAATTAATGACAAGATTCAAGGTTTGGATACAAGGTTGGTAGCTGTGGAGAGCTTCGTGGAAGAGCAAAGAAATCCTCCAGATTTTCAGTATGGTGGAAATGATGATTTCGGTAAGAAACAATTTTTGAGAATTTTTTGTTTTGAATATTGAAGTTTATTTGACTCTTTTTTTTATGTCACAGAGAAAACGGCTGAAGAGGAGATGACGGAGGCTGCTGCGGCTGTAGAGAGGGAGATGGCGGAGAGAGCCGCGGCTGAAGAGAAGGAGAGGGCGGAGAAGGAGGCTGCAGAGAAGGAGGCTGCAGAGAAGGAGGCTGCGGAGAAGGAGGCTGAGGCGGAGGCTGCTGCGGCTGTAGAGAGGGAGATGGCGGAGAGAGCCGCAGCTGAAGAGAAGGAGAAGGCGGAGAAGGAGGCTGCGAAGAAGGAGGCTGCGGAGAAGGCTGAGGCGGAGGCTGCAGCGGCTGTAGAGAGGGAGAAGGTTGAGGCTGCGGAGAAGGCTGAGGTTGAGGCTGCGACAGCTTCGGAGATGATGGAGGCTGCGAAGACCGTGGAGACTGTGGCGGATGAGGCTAGTGCAGCTGCGGAGATAGTGTTAGCGGTTGTGGATAAGGCTATGGAAAAGGCTCTAGCTGGTAAGTGGAGATTTATCTTCCTTAATGAGTCAAACCATTGGAGATTTATTTTTGATATAATGAGTTTCATCGATTTTTGTTTGTTTTTGTTAGGTGGAGACGATGCCGATACAGTCCAAACTCCTAGGAAGGTGAAAATCAAGAGACGACCTAGTCTTCAAGCCCAAGCAGCAAAGAAATTAATTAAGAGGAGTAAGACTCCCAAGCGAAAAAGGAAGGTTACTCGTTCACGTTTGGTGAAGGATTGTTATTAAGTAACTTAGGCCTTTGAACTTATGTTGTGTCATTATCTGCTATGTTAGAATTTGTCTTTGTGTTTTTCAGGATTTGGACATATATATTTTATGCAAGTCTTTTTTTATGTGTTGAATTAAAAGATACGACTAGCAGAACTAGACCAACTAGATCTAAATTTTAAAAACGTGTGACAGCAAAAAAAACGTGTGCATGCAAAAAAAACATGTTTAAAATAAAGTTAAAAATGGATAAAATATGAAGTCACGTGCGCCGTCAAAAGAGGAAATGAATATTTTATGCAAGTCTTCTTTTATGTGTTGAATTAAAAGGTACGGCTAGCAGAACTAGACCAACTAGATCTAAATTTTAAAAACGTGTGACAGCAAAAAAAACGTGTGCATGCAAAAAAAATGTGTTTAAAATAAAGTTAAAAATGGATAAAATATGAAGTCATGTGCGCCGTCAAAAGAGGAAATGAATATCTTTGCAAGTTTGCGCTGTCAAAAAAAAAAAAATTGAACCCAGCTTTTTTATAACATAGTTGTACCCAGTTTTGAGTTGTACCATAAAGACATAAAGTTGTAAAATTTTGTAATCAGTAATATCATACCTAAATTAAACATTTTTAGCTGTACTTGTAAAATTTTGTAAATAAACTAATATTCTAATGCTATAACTAGTATAAAAATACAAACTTTCATGGTTTTCATGTTTGTGTGGTTAAGATTTACAAAGTAACCTTAAAAGTATAAGGTAAATTGTGTAGAGAACACATTTTCATGGATCAAATATTTTCGTGGATCAAATTTATTTAACTATGAAATGTTCAAATATGTTTGCAAATGTTCTATGGCCTATTTTATATGGAAAAATGTTTACAAATACATTTACAAATTGTGTTATTGACATTTTTGTAGAAAGCATAGTCGTACCAGTCTTCCCAGTTGGACTTTAGTACAACTAAAATGTAGTTGAACTAGTTGTACTTGAAACGAGTGGTACTAGTCGCACCAGTCGTACCAGACATATTAGACGCGAAATATAGAGTTGTACTAGTGGTGCCTAGTCATACCTGATAGAAATAACATGGATACAAATCTCGGTCATACAAAGTTGCACACATAGTTC